ACGTGATATCAGGTTAAAACATGTCACGCAGTCGGCATTATCAGAACATCGAAACACGACATCGAAACACGACACCAAATACTGTTTGACAAAACGATTACAATAGCCAACATTACATCATACTTTCTAAGAAAGTATAGAGAGGCTATAGAGATACACAAACACTCTAACAATTTAAATAAAGACAATGGCTACAACATAAATAAAATATGAAACATCATTCTCCCAGTTATTGAAGACCGACCGATTTTCCTCACCTTTCCCCCACCCACACCCCAATTCTCTTTTTCTCCCCCATCCCCATTACTTCAACACAGCGCAATATAAAGTGAATGGCTCGGAGGAACAGCTCAGTATCAGGCTACTCGTTCTGATGAAGTGAACTGCAAAGTTCACGAAACGTTAGTATTCTAAGAATGGATTTGAACATAGAGGAAATCTGCGAAAGGCATAATCTTTATATAGAAAGCACCTGTGGAAGCCTAAAAAATATTATCAAATAAATTTAATGTTTATTTAACACAAGAAAGATATTAAAGAAAGTTAAAGTGCTTCGCGACCCGACAATTAGTTCGACATATTTAACTCTGGCATTAAATTGGTTTACCTCAATTCGAAGTTCAATTTCCTGATCTTTTTTTACAGTGTAGAAATATAAGCAGATATTAGGACCTTTCTCATTTAATTTTAAATGGACTTTGTTTGCTTGAGTTAAAATTAAAAAATGAATTACAAAGATAATTAACATCATAAATATGTGGGAAATAAAGAAAATTCATGAAATGTGCTCTAATTCGACGTTTTAATTATATAAAAATTGACTCTTAATTAAAAAATATGCAAATATATAAAAAGCTTGTTAATTCTGCTGTAAGACTATTTACTTATTGTGAATAACGATGTCCAATTTAAATTAGATCTGCCAGTTATACCCGAGAATCTACAGATACAACAGCAAAAGAGGAATCTAGTACTTCTAACATGGCGCAATAGTAAGTCAGGTATCAACAACGTGTCTGAAAACAATGACAGGGATGTTCGGTATTTAGTCGAAGAGCGTCATTTGGTCGGTCCTAGGTTCATAGAATCTAGATTGAGTTCTTGGACTGTATGTCACGTGTCGACGAAACCACACGCGACCCTTCGAGGTAGGCTGAAAACAGGACACTGGTATCAGTTTCGTGTGGCGGCTGTCAATGGAAATGGATCACGCGGTTACTCACAACCTTCCAGGCCCTTTAAAACGAAAGGTGAGTGTATATACATATTATACAGAGCGTCCCAGAATAACCGCCAAATATTTCGTGAATTGATAGAGTGAACTAAACCGAGTCAAAAAGTCCTTTACTATTTTGCAATTTATGCAACAGTTAACAAGATATTCATTAAAAATCATTGAATATTGGTTTTTTTATAATTTTTTACTCAAATACTATTAACTTTACAGAAAAACAGCAAGTAAAAATAAACAAAACTTGTTTATTTTTTCTCATATAGTTCTGAAAATTTGTTTTCAGAATGTTTTAGCACCGCATTTTCTCATGTTGGTAAAAATAGTTGCCAATAAGAAAATGCAGTACCAAATTAATAAAAAATTCTGAAAAATTTCTAGATCTCTATGAAAAAAAAAATTTTTGTATTTTGCTGCTTTTTGTAAAATTGACTTTAAGTAAAAAAAATATTGAAAACAATATTTAACGATTTTTAGTAATTAATATCTTAACTAAAACTTGAAAAAATTACAAAATGGTAAAGAACTTTTCAACTTAGTTTAGTCGGCTCTACCAGCACACGAAATATTTGGCGTTCATTTTGGGACACTCTATATACATCTCGCAATTTTTGATAAAGCGCTCTCTAGATAGAGCGGACTAAATTAAGTCGAAAAGTTTTCTACCATTTTGCAATTTTTGCAATTAACGAGATATTATTTCATGAAGATAGTCAAATTCGCCCGACTTACCGCCAAATAAAAGCACGCGGCGAAATAGGACTGCCCAGAGAGATGCATGTTCTTCGTCACTAGGCACGTTGTTTACAAACCATATTGGTATTAATGTGCCTAACGATCGCTAAAAAATTATTAATATTACTTAAGCTGTCGATGATTAAAACTTCTTGAATGTTGTTAAGGATGCTCTGGAACATTTGTTAAGATCAAAATCATTGAAAATCTTAAGATCTTAAAAATGAAAATAAGAGAAATCATTTCCGATAACCTCGATCTTAACACATGTTATCCGAGGCATGATTCTGAACAATATTTAAGAGAGTTTAATTGTCGGTCAGACACCTTAGATAATATGAATAATGTCGGTAATGTAACTTTCAAGCCTTATAACTCGAAAAATACTTAATAAAAATGAACTTTATTGTAGCGTTTTGAAAAGCTTTTGACATTAGCTATTAGGTTCTGGAATCAAAAATAGGGTATCCAATAAAAAAAAATCGATGTGACTTTGACCTGACATTGGTGACTTCGCCCAAGGTCAAATTGAAGATCATTAAATATTAAGAGTGAGGTTTTGCAAGAGATGGCTCTAATGTCAGTGTTGTCAAAGACATTCCAATCGCAGCTATTGTTTCTTAATGCTTTACTATTATTCCATGATATTTACTAACAATAGATGCAGTGTTTATACCATTTAAAAAATGGAGTTTTCTAAGGAGCATTTTTGACATACGTTGCTTTTGTTTTTTAAGAAGAAAACGGCGGTTGAAGGTTATAGAATTCTGATAAAAACTTATGGCAATGTTGCTCCATCAATTAAGACATGTGAATATTAGTTCAGACAATTCAAAAATGATGATTTCAATGTTAACGACAAAGATCGCTGGGGACAATAAAAAGAAGCTAGAAAATGCTGATTTGTAAGCATTATTATTAGACGAAAATCCAGCACAATTCACTTCAGAACATGCTAGAGAATTAAATATTGATCGTACAACAGTTATTAAACGTTTGACCAATGATATGGGAAAGATTTACAAAGAAGGAAAATAGGTTCCGTATCAATTATTAGAAAATACCATTGCAAATCGATTGAACATTTGTATCTCGTTGATTGCTAGACAAAAAAAGAAGTTTTTTGTATCAAATTGTTATTGGATGAAAAATGAGTAATAAATAATTTTATTAAGACCGTAATGTAATAAATACTAATTTACTAAGTAAGAATATTCAAACCTATAACGGTCGAAGCTAGATCTTTAATGCTTAAAATAATTCTATATGTATATGCATATATACTATATTTGTGGCTATTCAAACTGCGCGCCGAATTAGTTTTTCGAACTTATAAACGCATTTAGACTACTGGAATAATATCATAAATTAAATTGATAATCAAATTTTGATGTTCAATCTGGTAGCATATTAGAAGGAAGTTAATGTGCTAAAAAACTTAAAATAAATTTATTGCAAAAAATATTACCTCGGCCGGGACTTGAACCCGGATCTCTTGTATTCTGTACGAGTGTCCTAAACTATTAGATCATCGAGGCCTTAGTAATATTCTTTGCAATAATCGGTATATGTAGGAACAATAACACTTTTTTCAGGCAGCATGTATAATTAATAATAAATGATTTTATTAAGACCGTAATATAACAAATACTAATTGTAAGTAAGACTATTCAAGCCTATAATGGTCAAAGCTAAATCTTTAATGTTTTAAACAATTCAATATGAGTTATATATAATACGTTTTATATATATATATATATATATATATACACACATATATATATGTAATTTACTTACAATTAGTATTTATTACATTACTTAATAAAATCACTTATTATTATTTATACACGCTGCCTGAAAGAAGTGTTATTGTTCCTACCGATTATTGCGAAGAATGCATCCTATGATCGGTAATGATCGAATGAGACGAGGTCTGCAAATATGTTCCGATAATCTCTTGTCATTAATTTTCTACCCGTCTGACCAACATAAGATTGCAATTCTTGCAATTGATCTTGTATACGACATTCCTTTTGCATAATTTTGGAAGAGAATCTTTATGTACTTTGATAAATTGATTCAACTTGTTAATACTGTAATACGAGACTTTTTGATAAATGCCGTTGATAAATTTGTTGAATTTATTAGAAAATTATTGATAAATGGAATAGTGAATCACTTGATTTTGTCTTTTTAAATGTTTTTCTGTTGATTATTGTAGTTGTTTGATTTATTAATTAATTTTTATCCTTTCTTTTAAGGTCTTAAAAATGAAATTCAAAGGATAGTAATTTTCTAATAAAATATTAATTATGAATTCAAAGTTCTTTTTGTGGAATTATGTGAAAGATAAGAGGCCAATTAAACTTAAAATAACGCTTCTCTTTTGAAATAAGGTGTTGAGACCAAAAATTCAAAAATCTGCCCGAAAAAGTTAGTTTTTAGTACCAGTCGAATATTAAACTCACCCCTTAGAATAATAGTTGTGTGCAAAAAATTGATCAAATTACCACCCACTTCTAAAGTAAACTTCAATCTTTCATGAAAAGAGTTAAATCAATAAAGAATACAATTTACTTCGGAGAAAAATAAGGACAATGTCGTCGACGTACCTGTAATAAAAAGGCACGGCGAAATTAATGGAGCTCAATACACTGCTTTCCAAGTCCTGCATCACCAGGTCCGCAATAACCGGTGATAAAGGAGAACACTTCTAATGCCCATCGTTGTATATATTTTTTATAATTTTATTGTAAAGAAAAATATTTTGATTAAGATATTGTTTATTATCTTATTTAAATATATCAGTTTATAAAATCCTCAAAACTAAATCACAATTGTAATGGAATTGTAATCTTTTTAAACTCTACAATTTTTGTCGAAAACATTTTTCTCAAAAATGCATACTTTCCGAGATATTCAGCCGATCCGGAACTTTTGGTGAGCACTGTATAGGTATAAATAATATGATATGATACAATTAATGTGAAAACTTAACAGTGAAGAAATGAAGTTATAATGTCAGATTAAAATTTACAAATGTAATAAGTTTTATATTCTTATTCAATGCCTATTATCATCGACAAAAACGTTTCCGTCATTGATGGTCCAAAGCAATGAACGAGAGATTGATTGATATTTATTAGCTTCAATAGCTATGCACAAAATTTTTTCTTGGCCAATTTCTTTTTCAGTCAAAAATAATTATAAATATATAATAAATTGCTGACATATTAATAATTTTTATATTAATTTGTCTACATAATCAATAATTTCTTCCAACTCTACTTTAACATATTTTGTATGTTTATGCGTGTATGTTGTAAAATTATAATTTTCTTATAAAAATTGACGATGAGAGAGAGAGAGAGAGAGAGAGAGAGAGAGAGAGATTACCGTTAATTGTCCAAACTTGTGGAACAACTTGAAAACTTTATTGAAATTCGGGCTATTAACCCGCAGTGAAAAGTTTCAGAGTCGCGTTAATCTCTTGCGCAAATCGCTACGATAAATATTGCTTAATGTTGACCTTTCGCACGCAAATTAAGCTTTACCAGAATGAAGGTCAGTGGCTAACACAAAAACAAGTATACTTATCATCGAAAGGTCGTGAGTACGACAAATAAAATGTGGCCATTGTTATGAATACGGATATTACTTATAAGCAGCAAAAATGAAATCATAATTACAGATCGTCAAATTCAATTTGACAATTACTTATGGCAGAGCTGTAGCCGAGTTGCATTTCGACTGATTTTGCTCGTCATCTCCTTTTGTTTCATAGCATTTAGACCGCGTGCGGAGACATAAAATGCAGGGAGACATCGAACGCAGGGATGATATTAGCTGTAATTCATATATGACACTATTTATTTTTCTGATATTGATGGAATATAAGGTATTGTGAAAAATGTAATCAAATTTTTGTCTATCTATTCTTCATTATTCGTGTGAGTTTAAATCGCAGACTCAAAAACTTACATTCTCTTCAAGATATTTAAATTAACTATTCTTCATGTCACCTATTTAGTTAAAAAATAAGTTATGTTCTATCAATATCAGAAAATTCAAATGATTTTTCAAGAATAACAGAGCAGTTTGTTTTATATATTGTATTTATTTCTTACCACGTTATATTCATATTGTATTTATTTATTACTATATTTTATACAGAATATTATTACTATGTTTTATATCTATGACTAACAATAATTGATTTTGACCTCTCACGTACTCTTTGAACGTCTTTGTGCTAACGTGTCTTATATCATATATCATCGTACATACAGATACAGATTAAAAATCCCATTATTTTTTTTAAATAATTCTTTCTCTTATTTTATATTTAAAAATCTAGCTTCTTATTGAATTACTTAAAATTATTCTATACTTCTATTTAGATATTCCGGCAGTAGTTCAATTACAAAAAAATTATTTTATTTTTGATGCATAATTGTGTTTTTGTTTTTCTTTAAAAAAACTTTAATAGTTTAGTCGTTAAAATAGCAAACAAATAAATGAAAGTTTTATAAGTTTAATTTTGTAAAGTAAAAAATATAAAAATACAATTTAAAAAAGTATGTGCAAAATAGTTTAAGATCATTGCACTTGTTACATTTTCTTCAAAATCCTAATAAAAAAACTTATTTGAAGTTTCTTTAGTTTAAACTATGTACATATTTTTTTTATTGTCATATATTTAATATATAATAATTAAAAGAAATAATAATACATATTACATATTGAATATTAATATGTAATATCAAAATGAAAATATTAGTTAAATAAAGTGTTTTAAATTTAACATCTAAAAAGGATAAATGCTTTTATATCAAATTATTTTCCAAAAATTATTGACTAATTTATCGAATAAATTATCGTAAAATTTAGTCATTTTCTCTAATCATAATGTCAAATATTGACATTACAATATATTAAAAATAAATTATTATGTCAAGTATTATCTAAAATGAGTCTGAGTCGTTAATATATTTTTATATAAATTTTCTACCTTCATCACGATCATGAAACCAAACGAGTTTAGTTCATAAAAAAAAAGAGAATAATTAATATAATTAACGGATCATGTAAAACCGGATTAAGTATTCCTGTCGTTCTTAAACAGATAAAGAATCAGCTAGAAATTACACTGTGCACGGTTATCACTTTGATTCAGCCGAGTTGAGATGATTCATTTTATTACTTCATTTACCTTCAATACCTTCAGTTACCAAAAAAGAGAACACATTTTATACTCGTAAATAGAATAATTTTTATATAATATATTTGATCAGATTATTCTGTAATTTATTGAATTAACTTATATTAAATATAAATATTACAATATACATTGTACAATTTCATAAAAAAATATTTATATATTATTAAAAAATTTATCAAAATGTCGCGTGTTAATTTTAAATAATTTCTACATATAATATTATATACATATAGAAAAAAAATATATAGAATAAAAAATAGAATAAAATAAGTTTATCATCAAATTGCAACAATCGTTTATTACAATGAGAAATTATTTTTTATATTCACTGCAAACAGAACGTATACGCGTAGCATGTAGTCTCATTATATAAGTTTCATTATATAATTAGCATTGTACTGTGAAGAAGCAATGATCTGATGACGCTTCCTCGGTTGCAGAACCACGGAATCCGAAAGAACCTCAGAACTTGACTTTGTCTAACGCCCGGCTCATTGGTGGAAAGCTGCGTATTAATTTACGATGGATTAAACCGGCGTCGGATGTGCCAATATCGTTTTACAAAGTATTTTGGAGCAGATTTATCCATGGACCAACAAATGATTCTATTCTCGTCTATCATAAGACAATTCTTAAAGTAAGTTTTTTTCATTATCGTTGGCAGATTTCTTAAAATTTAATTTTTATTCACACAACAAGATATAAAAAAAATTAAATTAATTTTATCTTAAATAATTAAATGTAAACGTATAATTTTATAAAAGAGGTATCATCTCGATATATGCTCAGAATTAGAAAAAAATAAAATTGAGATATATCTATATATAAATCGAGATTTACTTTGAATCGATTAATTTTTATATTTACATATTATATATTAAATTTAAATACTGGGCCGGAGAAAAAGTTCTGCAGTATTTTTTAACTCAAAATTGTACACAATATCTTCGTTAAAAATTATCAAAATTTAAATTTAAATAAAGGGTTTTAAAGCTTGAAATTTCTACTTTTGAATGGTTACTATATTTTTAAAATTTATGTAAGTTTTGTAATTTTTATATATAGAAAATAACCTGACAAAAATAAAAAATTTTCTTTGCACTTTGTAGATCCGTAGAGTGCCCAAAAAAATTTGAACAAATTTAGACTATCTAAAAGCTTGAAGCTTTTTCTACAAAATCATGTGTGTGTGTGTGTGTGTGTGTGTGTGTGTGTGTGTGTGTGTGTGTGTATGTGTGTTTTAAAAATGTTCTTACGATTTTTTGTTCTTAAGTTATTCGCGGATTAAGTAAAAAGAAGCATTCTGACTCTGATTGCTCATAATTTCATTAAATATAATCGTATATATATATAGAAAACAAAATTTTTAAAGCTGAAACGTTGCTTTATCGAGTGATACAATTGCCAATAAAAAAATAGAATATATATAAATTTGAGCTAAAAATATGGTGTTACTTTTCTTTTAACCATTGCGCAATGATTATATATAATTATAAGGATAGTAATATCATATTTTTAACTCAAATTCGTATATATTTTACAATATAATATATTATAGGACCGTATATGTGATAACACAAACTATAGAAGTAAAAGCCTTAAAAACGTGCCCCAAAATGATTTTTCGGTCTTAAAACGCTAACTTTACTAAACCGCAGTAATACCAAGACTACATAAGCAGTATATAAATTCACACAAGAATTATATGTATAAGCATTTAAGATCCAGCTAGATCGTTTAAGGTTTTGATTTCTATAGTTTATATATTTTACATTTAAAAAATTATCCCATGGTATCATTCGATAGAGCAAAGTTTCAGCTTTAAGAATCTATTTTATTAATTTAGATACGATAATTTTTAACGAAGTTATAAGCAAAATCAGAATGTTCTTTTATTTAATCCACATGTAACTTGGTGACAAAAAGTCGTAGGAACATTTTTAAAAACGAACTTTTAGGAAAAACTTCAAGCTTTCACGTCAGATAGTCGAAAATTTCTCAACGAATATATTCTGTATTACAGTGTTGTGCTTAGATAA